ACACTATTTCCAATTCTTAAGGGACAAAACTTTAGATCACTGATGTAATGTAAAGCTTTCATAGTCAGCATTGGTTGAATTAATTATTCCTTTCAGTTGGCATTTCTGTCTTGAATGTAAATTATTCCCTTGAGTTGGCAGTTCTAACTTGATTTCTTTTAGAGCCATATAGATACACTAGAGGCCTGGTGCATGAAAATAGTGCGGAGGCGGAGGGGGTGGGGGGGGTCCCTCAGCCCAGCCTGCACCCTCGAGGCCTGGTGCATGAAAATAGTGCGGAGAGGGGGTGGGGTCCCTCAGCCCAGCCTGCACCCTCTCACAGTCCAGGAGCCCTCGGGGGATGTCCAACTAAGCCGGCAGTCGGACATCCTTAGCGCTGCCACAGGCGGGAGAGGCTCCCGCCACCACTGCACTCACCAGCCATGAGCCAGGCTTCTGGCTGAGCAGCGCTCCCCCTGTGGTAGCGCACTGACCACCAGGGGCAGCTCCTGCATTGAGTGTCTGCCTGCTGGTGGTCAGTGGGCGTCATAGTGACCGGTTGTTCTGCCATTCGGTCGATTTGCATATTAGCCTTTTTATTATATAGGAATAGGATTAGCTCAGTTTCATAGGTCAAACTACAAATGAGGCCAAAGGAGTTAATTTTAATCTCTGCTTTGTTCTTTTCCCTGTTCTGTTGCACAATTAATAGTAAAATATGCTTGTGCTGTGTCACAAAACATGGATCAATACAGATCTGTTAAGGAGGACTGGGAAAACTTCTCAACCTACTTTCCTCCTATGTCGGTCAATGTCACTGACTTCAGTTATAAAGAACATTTTTAATAATATTTTTATTTATTTGAGAGGAAGGGAGAAACATCTCATCTGCTGCCTCCTGCATTACCCCCATAACCCAGACATGTGCACTGACTGGGAATTGAACCAGTGACCTCTTGGTTCATGGGCTGACACTCAACCACTGAGCCATACCAGCATTTTGTCTTTAGAGTGCCTAACATAGAGTAGATATAAGCTCACCGGCCTGACTGACTTCATTTTGGTATGGACTAAACCAGTGATGGCGAACCTATGACACGCATGTCAGAGGTGACACGCGAACTCATTTTTTGGTTGATTTTTCTTTGTTAAATGGCATTTAAATATATAAAATAAACATCAAAAATATAAGTCTTTGTTTTACTATGGTTGCAAATATCAAAAAATTTCTATATGTGACACGGCACCAGAGTTAAGTTAGGGTTTTTCAAAATGCTGACACGCCGAGCTCAAAAGGTTTGCCATCACTGGACTAAACACTGGTAATCATATATCAATTAATTAATAGGTTTGTAGGTGTGAGCTTGACTTGGATCTTGATTTAAAAGACAACTACAGCCAACCTTATAAATTAAGATGTCTTAGACTGGTTTTTAAAAACTACAACATTTAGGGAATAGAAAAATGTAAAAAGATCATAATCCCATTATTCAGGATCAAAAACCTTTATATAATTAGAATTGAAAACAACTTAAATCTCCATCAACGGAGGATTTATTTAACATTCCAGTGAAATAATGCAACATTAAAGAAAGGCATAGGCTCATGTGTGCCATGGAATGATGTTGAAGATACATGATCTGTAAAAACTAAAGGGCTTCTAGAAAAAAAAAAATTATTCTACACTCCACTCTAAAACCCACCTAACCACCCCTAGAAAGAGAAAGAATTCTAGTTAATACTTGTTAAAATTATTACCAAGTGCCATAACATAGTTTTAAATGTTCCACATGCATTATCTCACTTCTCATAACAAAACTATGAGATAAGAAATACTATTCCTATGATAGGACTCAAACCGTTTGTAGTCAAAGTCTATAGTCTTTTTTTAAAAATATATATACTTTTTTATTGATTTCAGAGAGGAAGGGAGAGGGGGAGAGAGATAGAAACATCAATGAGAGAGAATTATTAATCGGCCACCTCCCGCATCCCCCCCCCACCCCCACTGCCCACAACCCAGGCATGTGCCCTTGACCAGAATCAAACCCAGGACCCTTCAGCCTGCAGCGGCTAGCCCGCAGCCAACTCCTCGGACCGCTGAGTCAAAGTCCATAGTCTTAACTACTCACCATAGTATATTGCCTGCTCTCAATATACGTAATAGAAAAAAGCCAATTTGCAGAATGGTATGTATAATGCGATCTCATTTTTATAAAAATAATTTTCTTTATAAATGTGTGTGTATAGAAAAATCTGGAGAGTATATGCCAAATCTAACTCTAGCAGTGGAAGTACAGGAATCTTCTTCCTGATTTATATGTTTTTATTTTACTTTTATAATTAGACAAAAATTAAAATTGAATTTTAAAACAAAATTGGGGACAAATTATAAGTACATATTTAATCCTGATAAACTCAGTTTTTAAATATAAGTTTTTAAACAAAAAAATTCTTCTCCTTAGTGTCTTTTGGGATGGTAAACCCACATATGTATTACTTAAACAAAGTTATGTCATCTCTGTTTTTGGACACTTCTGTGCCTGGTGATGAAAGGACCAACTTTAAGTCTATTTGCAGCATCCCTGATTTTTGGAAGGTAAGGTAGCATGTGACTGTGGATAAAGTAGCTTTAGTTATTGCATAAACGTTTGGCACATGTAGTAGGCACTTGTTCCTACTAACTTTGGCACATGTAGTAGGCACTTGATACAGTGCATATTTGGTGAAGGAATGAATATAATTTCTTTATATTAGAGTCAACCAACCAGTGAGTGTTTATTGAAGAGCTATGTTCTCAGTGTGTGCTTATTTTTAAAAAAAATAAATTAATAAATATTGTCCTAGCCAGTTTGGCTCAGTGGATAGAGTGTCGACCCACAGACTGAAGGGTCCTGGGTTCAATTCCCAGTAAAGGGCATGTACTTGGATTGCAGGCTTGATCTCCAGCCCTGGTGGGGACATGTGTGGGAGGCAACCGATCGATGTATATCTCTCACACTGATGTTTCTCTCTCTGTCTCTCCCTCTCCCTTCCATTCTCTCTAAAAATCAATGGAAAAATATCCTCAAGTGAGGATTAACAAAAAATTAAAATTTTATTTTATTTTATTTAAAATAAAATTAATCTTATTTATAGCATTTGGAAAATAGAAAACTTGCTTCTTATGTGGTAGGATCCAAAGTCAGTCTATAATTGTGTATAGTGAAAATTACTCTTTAATTGCCCATAAAGTGAAACATATGTTATGTGGGTATACTATACAACCCTATACTGTGTGAGTGTTACAGTAATGTACAGTATATAATAAAGAGTATATATACAAAATACAATTTTATAGTGTTTTTAATTGCAAAAGAGAATAATTCCTTCAACATTGAAACAGACTTTTTTCATTACACTTAGCAAGATGCTTACATTATGAGGAAAGAACAACTAAGAAAACAGTAGTTTCAGGTATCCCATGTCACAACCATTGGAGCTGGAAGAGGTAGGAAAGGCTTTCAAGAGGTGACTATTCAGTTGAGTTTTAGAGGATTAGTAACAGAAGGGCATTCTAGGAAGAATTAAGCAATATGTTCTATAAGTAATTCTACATATGGGGCTATATTTGACATTATAGGCATACTAGAGGCCCGGGGCACAAAATTCGTGCACTCAGAGAGGTACCTCAGCCCAGCCTGTGCTCTCTCCCAATCCGGGAGCCCTCAGGGGATGTCTGACTGCTGGCTCACCAGCCATGAGCCCGGCTTCTGGCTGAGTGGTGCTCCCCCTGTGGGAGTGCACTGACCACCAGAGGGCAGCTCCTATGTTGAGCATCTGCCCCCTGGTGGTCAGTGTGCATCATAGCGACTGGTCATTCGGCCATTCGGTCTATTTGCATATTAGCCTTTTATTATATAGGATAGAAGATGAGATAGAAAAGGCCAAACTATGAATTAGGTCAAATAATGAAAGCCATGCTAAGAATTTGGAACTTATCAAGGAGACAAGGTCATCGTTATCATTAATATTAATGTTGACTTGGTCAATAATTTTCATACTCATCCTCAAAATCACTGATTTTTATATTCTTATGGATAACATTATGAATGTAGAGTCTGTTATTCAGTTGACATGAAAATATTTTTCCCATAACATTTATTTTTCCATGTGAAGTTTATGGAAGGACCCCTTTTGGAAGGTCTATACTGGGACTCATGGTACAGTAATAGCCAGTTGTATAATTCAAAGAACAGCAGTCGCATCTACTCTGAGAACATACTCTTAGGAGTCCCCAGAGTCCGTCAACTAAAAGTCCGAAACAACACATGCAAGGTCTATTCATCCCTTCAGTTTCTGATGAGCGATTGTTATGCCAAATACACTTCTGAAAATGAAGACGTATCTGATTTTGGCCTTAAAGTTGATACTGAGTAAGTAGCATAAAATTACATGTAACATTTTCTAGCAGCTTACCATTGTATCTATAAACAATTGTGAAAATACGTGTATTTTCCAAATAATACCAACAGGGGTCTTATTCCAATAATAGTATCAAAGGACGACTCAGCAATGCAGTGTCTAAAAAAAGAAAGAAAGAGTTGAACCTGTTATTTTTTTTTTGTCTACCAAATGATATATGAAGTGCTAACTCATTGGACACAAGGCAAAGTGTCCATTTTTGCTCTTATAAGACTCAATTAGCTCTTCTGGCTCTGGCCAGACTCACTTCAAACACATCCCAAACGCTTCTTGGGATCCCTAAGGAGTATCCTAGGTGTCTTGGGCAACTTTCCTTCTTTCTCACTGAAGCTTACTTCAATGATGTCTATTGTTGCTAACATTAAAAAGGGGGCAGTTATGCTCTACAGGCACTGCATCTGATGATGCCTGCCAAAGTTGTTATGACCATTGTTCTTCAAAATGACTGAGGCTACTGCTGGTGTACACTCCTGTCTCTGTATGTATGTGTGTGTGTGTGTGTGTGTGTGTGTGTGTGTGTGTGTATTGCAGCTTTATTTATGATTGTTCCAAATTGGAAACAACCAAGATTTACTTTAATAGGTGAATAAATTCTGGTCAAGGGCACGCACCTTGGTTGCAGGCTCCTCCCCCTCCCTGGTCCTGTTTTCTCTGTCCCTCTCTCTTCCACTCTCTCTAAAAATCAATGGACAAATATCCTCAGGAGAGGATTAAAAAAAACACAAAACCAAAACCACTGACACTACCTCCCTTTAGCACAGAAACTGCTGGCATCATTGTTTTTAGGGTCCTGTGAAAATTTTAGGGGGCAGATAATCTTTTTTATGGAATTTTCATTAAATATGAGTATTTTTTTCTTAGTGGTGTCATTTTTATCCCCCTATAAACAAGCATAGTATCATTAATAGAAATACAATTTAAGCAGTACATCTTTGGATAATCGTTCCAATCTGTTTTGGGTAGATAGAATGACTAAAATGAGGAATCAAGGCTTTATTTTTTTTATATACATTATAATTAAGTTAAAAGAAAAAATGGAAACGAAATTTAGTTACACACATTTTACTTTGATTTATGTAATTTCATTAAAATAACATACCTATATAACAATATTTACATTATGACAAAGGTCCTATGTACTGAGTATTTTATAAATGGTATATGACCTTTAGAAGACAGACAATGAAGCACCTTTTTTTTCCCATGCTGAGACAGATATTTCTGAATCTAAACCTTTGGTATTCTTGTTCTAGTCAAAGACTTAAGATCTAATAAAACAACAGAGACAGTATGTTAAAGAACAAAGTCAGTCATTATTTTCTAGTTTTTAAGCTCCCTGAGGCAAAATAGATTAAAATTTTTTTTTCTTATAGGTAGTCCAGTGTCTTGTTCACAATAAGCATTAAAAAATGAAAACACACTATTGCTGTGTAAAGCTAGGGGTCTAGAGGCAGCATGCAGCTGCACAGATAGTAACTGTGGGTACAGAGACTGATGCTGCTTTATGGGAAGAATTTGTATTTACCAGCTGGTGTCTGGCTGCCTGTCTGTATATGGACATTGCTGTGAAGAATTGTCTTGTCTGCTGGCTATATGGCCACTGGCTACTGCAATAAAGACTCATTCTTATACACACACAAAATGAAAGCATATTAAATATTCTTTTAACTTCATTCTTAACTCATTGTTTTGCTTCAAAATTACTACAATACTTACGAACTTAGTACTATTTTTTTAACAACTACTTTTGAACCAAAGTTTACTGAAATTCTTAGAATGCTTCTCATTCAGGTCCTTCTCATCTCTCCACTGTTCTTTTTATATCTAACAGATGGAAGTATTCTACTCCTAATAGCAACTCCCCTTGGCACTGGGGATTTGTTGGTGTTTACGGAAATGGGGGATATATTTTCACTTTATCAAAATCAAAATCTGAAACCAAAAACAAGTTCATTAAACTTCAACAGAACAACTGGATCACAAGAGGGACTCGAGTTATTTTTATTGATTTTACGTTATACAATGCTAATGTAAACCTGTTTTGCATCATCAGGTGAGTGACTCAAAACCTATTTGTTAAGAAATTTAAAAAGCATCCAGAGCCCTGGCCAGATGGCTCAGTTGTTTGGAGCCATGGTCCCATATACCAGAAGGTTGCAGGTTTGATTCCCAGTCAGCATGTACAGGAGGCAATCAATCAATGTATCTCTCTAAAAAAATAAAATAAAATAAAATAAAATAAAATAAAATAAAATAAATGAAAAGCATCCAGAACTCTTATTAGGGTTTCCAGTTTTTGCATGTCTGTACTGAGATTAAAATTATAAGCTTAAAATATAATGTCATTCTGCTAATAATGAAAAAGAAGGTAAAGTAACATCATATTATTTCATTATTTGAGAATATATTCAAGAACTTGGAGAATTACATACAATATGTTGGTTTTATATTACTAAAGGATATGTAATTTTATTGTCATCCTACAATTGCAGAGGTCTAACATTTAGTCTTGATGATTTCTTCTTCTATTCCAGTCATTCAAATCTGTTGATTTCCTTTCAGAATGAGCTTCCTTATGAAGCTATAAATTTTTCTCAAGAATGAGCAATTTTTATTTTAAACAATATATAACAGCACTCTGCATCCTAGAAATGATTAGAGTTTGTGGTGATTTGCAAAAATTGTCCCAAATCTTCACATCTTTGCTATGTAACTTTGCAAGTGCCCTCCCACCCAGAGCAGGGTGCACTGCCCCAGCCCTTGATGCTTAGACTCAGTCATGGACTGTACAACCACAACACCCAGGGACCAGCTGCGAACCCAGGAACACCGGATCTCAAGCAGGGCGAATACGCGGACTCGGATGAGCTATAGACTCAATCATGTGATTTGTTTTGATCAATGGAATATTAGCAGATATGTTACAAGCAGGAGCTTGAAATGAGTTTGTACACTAAAACTTGCTCTCTTGCCTGGCTGGGTAGGTCAGTTGGTTAGAGCCGTGGTTGGCAAACCGTGGCTCGCGAGCCACATGCGGCTCTTTGGCCCCTTCAGTGTGGCTCTTCCACAAAATACCATGTGTGGGCGCGCACATACAGTGTGATTGAAACTTCGTGGCCCATGCGCAGAAGTCGGTATTTTGTGGAAGAGCCGGTATTTTGTGGAAAAGCCACACTGAAGGGGCCAAAGAGCCGCATGTGGCTCGCGAGCC